CATGCCAAGTTTAAAGAAATTGAACAGTTTTAATTTTGCCTATATGCCTATATGACTCCCGAAAACGTCTTTAAAAGTATTTTTATTTTTAAAAACAAGCACCAGGTTTATAAAATTCTTTAATGTCATTTAAAGGTTAGTGTTAAATGTAAAGTATTTTTGGCCAACAGCAACAGGAATGCAAACAAGTGTATAGAAATACATCTTTTTTTTCTTTAAAGTACAGGTTCCTAAAAAAATAAACTCCCTGTAGCGTGTTTACATCATGAAAATTTTAACAATGAAGACAAAGTACATATTTGGATAATACTTCAACAAAAGGGCCATGATAGCCCTATATCGCTCACCTTAAGGAATAGATCTTAAAAACAAGCAACAGGTTTATAAATTCTTAAATGTCATTTAAAGGTTAGTGTCAAATGTAAAGTATTTTTGGCCAACAGGAATGCTAACAAGTGTATAGAAATACCTCTTTTTTTCTTTTCTTTAAAGTACAGGTTGCTAAAAAATAAACCCCCTGTAGCGTGTTTACATCATGAAAATTTTAACAATGACATCATAATTAACAAGACGAAGTACAAATTTGGATAATTCTTCAATAAAAATGGGTCAAAGACAAAAATGGTCGGGTTACATTTGTATACCAAATAACATGAGGCTGTGATGTTACAAAAATTTCCAACCATTGACCATTAATTTCGAACATTTAACTAAGTCGGTAAACAGGAAGTGGATAAGCGATAGACCTGACCTTGGGACCACGTGTTAATGCAGTCACAATACCAAATATCAAGAGGCTGTAATATGTAGTTGCTGAGAAAACTGTTACGGATATTCTTCCATTTACAATTAATGATGAAAATTTAACTAAGTCAGCAAATGGGAAGTGGATGAGCGACTTACCTGAAATCGCATTCCCACGGTATGTGACTACATGTTAATGCTGTATACCAAATATCAAGAGGCTGTGAAAAGTAGTTGATGAGAAAATTGTTACGAAAAATTCCTACCATTGACCATTATTATGAATTTAACTAAGTTAGTAAACATGAAGTGGATGAGCGACATACCTAAAATTGAATCCCATGTTATGGGACAATGTGTTAATGCTGTATCCTAAATATCATGAGGCTCTGATAAGTAGTTGCTGAGAAAACTTTTACCAAAAATGGCCCAACCAATTTGCCTGCCTGCCCGGAATCAGATCTCAATACATGATGGTAAACAGTATTTTTTTTTGCATATAATTATGTAATTTTTTTCGAAAATCAGTATTATAGTCGTAACAGATATCATATTAGTGTTTAAATATTAAAATATTTTTTGATAGTGTTTACTCAGGGGTATCATGTTGGGGACAGGATCTAACCCCCAAGCATGTGGTTTATCATATTAGAACACTCCTTTCTACAAAAACTCCTTTCTGTTCACATGAGTGGCTCTATACACAGGTTAATTTGTAAAATTAATTCTTGTAAAATGTTATAAAAAAAAACAAACAAACAGCAGGGATCTCAGTAAGGTCAGAATTTCACGTGGCAGACTGTTTGGCCAAAAGTTTCATGAGTCAAATCAGTTTTTTCTTGTGTTATTTTTCTACATGAATCATTTTCATGTTTCAAAAATTACTGTTTGGGAAGTCATTTTGAGTAGATTTTCAATTGATAATATTGTGAGGTTAGGTAATTTTCAAATTACGTAAGCTTCTTGCTTAGTTAGCAAAATGATAAAGATAATTAAGTATTACTAGCACCATGGATAATTACCATAATTATTGTTCCATTTTCACTTACATTTATTGAGGTCAATATTACATGTGTATACATGTATAATTTTAGAAATTATAACACGGGAGGTGATATATACATAAATACTGAATGTCATGCCCTAGTACTGAATGTCATGCCCTAATACTTCACAAATAGTTAACAAAATACCTGTTTTAACAAAGCACATCGATAATTGTATTCTTCTTTACTTCTTTGTAATGAAATACGGGTAGTTTATGTTACAAAATTTCTCAATTTTCGTGTGCATGGCCGCCATTTGTCATACTTTCGGTTTAGTTCTATTTATAATCTCAACTCAAGGTCAGATTGATACAGATATTTTCTGAGGCTGTTGAATGGATTAATTGACATGCTTTATTTATTTATTTGAATTGTATGTTTGTTCTAAGAATGAAATATTATGACATATTTATTTTATATTGTAACCTCGAACCACCTTATTTGCATACCAAAATATTTTGGTTCTCATTTGCATACGCAAAGCTAATACCAGCGTTCGTATCCCAAAACATCACTTTGCCTCTGTCCTTAATATATTAGATGTACAAAATTTTGTCTCATCGAAATCTTTCATAAATTTCAATAAAAGTTTCATTCATTGAATAAATTCATCTTGAAAAGGTATCTTGAAATATATGATTTTTCCTGCAAACCGGAAGGATGTACAAATAATATCCGTGCTGTAAATTAAACTTTTATCTTAATCAGCTAACTTTTGTGAAAAAAATACAACATTTTTTGTTCACTTTCGTTTGTTTGTGAAATAATAATACACAATAAAATGTGCAAGTCATTGTCAAGAACCGAAATATTATACATGGTATTTCTGAAATGACACAGTCTCCTTACTGATGGTGTTACGAAATTAATGGAAGAATCCATTATTGAATAGGGAAATCAACTTCACTGTAGCTCTCAAATTTGTGCTCTGATTGACTCTGTTTTGAATTAACATTCACATTCAACAACCTTTTCATCTTTCTAATGCTTTAACAGAAAAATCTTCATAACAATGTCTGTTGAGACTAAAAATACAAGATACACTATCTCAATTTATCCCTACAAAGAAAGTCTATATAACCTTGCGATAAAAAAACCCCTTTAACAGAGACCAATTTTCAACTCTAGACCATAATATGAATATACTTTGTAGAAACCAACAAGCTAATGCCTTGTGAGAAATATCTAAGCTCTAGCCCTTTCCATTTTGAAGTATAAGAACTGTTAAGTTTTTTCTTTTAGGTGCCATAGCAACCAAAGTTTAACATGGAATGGAATTCTTTGAACAATCTGGATAGAGCTTCATACAAAGAGTATTCCTGCCAAGTTTCATTAACATTGACCATGTGGTATCATAGAAGATGTCGTTTGAATAAAATGTGGATGGACGCCGGATGACAGACGCAAATGATGGGCCATCCTAATAGCTCACCTGCACTGTGTGCAAGGTGAGCTAAAAACAAGATTGCATTTGAGAAAAATGCTATGCCACCGCATTAATACCTAAGCTCTAGGCCTTTTGGGCATTTACAAGAAGGTATTTTAAGTTTTTGAAGCCTTGTACCTTGTACCTACAGACAATAAGATTTTTTTATTTTTTACTATATGTATATATTGAAAATCAATGACCCCCGGGGCGGGGGCAATTTTGACCCCAGGGCTATAATTTGAACAATCTTGCTAGAGGTTCACTACACAATGTTTCATGCAAAATATCTAACCTCTAGCATTTGTCAATTGCTAGAAGAAATTTTTTTAAAGTTTTTACTATATACATATAACGAAAACCAATGACCCCGGGGGCAGGGCCGATTTTGACCCCAGGGCTATAATTTGAACAATCTGGGTAGAGGTCTACAACACAATGCCTTATACTCTAGGCCTTTTGGGTCTTTACAAGTAGGTATTTAAAGTTTTTACTATATGTACATATAGTGAAAATCAATGACCCCCGGGGCGGGGCCGATTTTTGACCCTAGGGCTATAATTTGAACAATCTTGGTAGAGGTCTACCAGGCAATGCCTTATGCAAAATATCTAAGCTCTAGGCTATTTGGGTCTTTACAATAAGGTATTTTAAGTTTTTACTATATGTACATATAGTGAAAATCAATGACCCCGGGGGCAGGGCCGATTTTGACCCCAGGGCTATAATTTGAACAATCTTGGTAGAGGTCTACCAGACAATGCCTTATGCAAAATATCTAAGCTCTAGGCCTTTTGGGTCTTTACAAGAAGATTTTTTAAATTTATTCTTATAATTCCTTTTGGTTGCCATGGCAACCAGATTTCTGCATGGAATGAAATTCTTTGAAACAACTTTGGAAGCCCTTCACCCAAGGATCAATCCTGCCAAGTTTGGTTGAAATTGGACTATTGGTTTTTCACAAGAAGATTTTTTACGTTCACTATATAATCTATATAACAATGACCCGGGGCGGGGCCTATTTTGACCCCAGGGCTATAATTTGAACAATGTTGGTAGAGGTCTACCAGACAATGCCTTATGCAAAATATCTAAGCTCTAGGCTATTTGGGTCTTTACAATAAGGTATTTTAAGTTTTTACTACATGTATATGTACATATAGTGAAAATCAATGACCCCGGGGCGGGGCCGATTTTGACCCCAGGGCTATAATTTGAACAATCTTGGTAGAGGTCTACCAGACAATGCCTTATGCAAAATATCTAAGCTCTAGGCCTTTTGGGTCTTTACAAGAAGATTTTTTAAATTTGTTCTTATAATTCCTTTTGGTTGCCATGGCAACCAGATTTCTGCATGGAATGAAATTCTTTGAACAACTTTGGAAGCCCTTCACCCAAGGATCAATCCTGCCAAGTTTGGTTGAAATTGGACTACTGGTTTTTCACAAGAAGATTTTTTAAGTTCACTATATAATCTATATAACACACACACACACACACACACACACACACACAAACAAACACACACACACACAGGTGAATCGCTATATGCCACCGCATCGCAGATGCTGCGGTGGCATAAAAAACACACAAAAAAACAGCCTACCTACCGACCCACTCCTTATAACCCTGGGTCGGCAATAGCAAACATAAATTTTTAAGAGTGGCCTTAGTATGCAAGACCATTAAAGAACATTCAGTTTGAAGCAGATAGCCAAGATGATTATGAATTTAAATTAAAATCATTTTAGTAGATATATATAAATCAAATTTGATATAAATACCTTAATGTGGTTGTTAAAACAGTTAAATGTTTCCAGGTTGTATAAATTTGTAATAGCAGCAGGTATACCTGTAAAAGAAAATGTTCAGAATTATAATGCATCTCATTACTTTGACGAGTTCTGACTGGCAAACTACTTCTTGGGTCGATAAAGTGTGTAACAAGTGACCCAATGTGATAACTATTTGCAAACAATCACAACTCCAGACAACCTCAACTCTTTCTTTCCATTACACAACATAATGTTGATTTGCATCACACACCTTACTGCAAACAGATTTTTGGTGAAATGAAAAAACATGTAGTAAATAGATCCCTATGTTCAATAACAAGCTAGTAAATCCATACCTGCATTCATTATAGGATGGTTATCATGCATTTCAAAATGTATCATGTTATCGAAAATTACAGTTACAAATTGGTTTAAATTTGTGCTCTGTAAAGAAATTTTATGAATGTGTGGCTGAATCATGTCACTCAGGTCACCCTCCTGAATGATGCCATGTTTATTCAATGTAAACAGCTAAAGTTTTCGACTTTCATTATTTGATACAGATATCACAATTTTGACAGTTACCGGTACCTTGATTTAAACTTTATGAGACTGAGTCAGGTGTATGATAATTGAAGATTAGTGACAGTCGGTAACGATCTGCCACACTGACGATTCGCCCGACTTAAGTGATGATTCGCCCCACCTAAAATTACTGAATTTACATTTTTAAAATTCATTTGGATTTATTCAACCTTTGCTGCACAAAATGTATTTGCCCTGCATTTTGACGGACAAAAATAGTTAAAATCTAAAACATATAACTCAAATTTACTTTTTTCCAGTTATAATGATATACTGGCTTTCTTCAATTACATATTGTTTATAATACTTTTTATACTTTTAATATATAATCCAACATACAAACAAGACTAACCATGATTAAATTGAAGCTTGGTTGGGATTTTATGTAGTCATAGTCACTCCGAATGGGATCAAATGTGATGCGCGCACATAATCAGTGGTGATAAATCAGTCTTTAAAGTAAGAAATCAAGCTTTGCTAAAAATTCCATTATCAAAACAACAAAAATAAATTTGGAGGGAAAAGGGGAGGGCATTTTGATCCCCTTCCCAGTGTATGACTACATAAAATCCCAACCAAACTTCAACTTAACAAAGGTCTTGTTTATTTATTGGATTTTATTATGTCATACACTCCTAGGTTTTCAATTGAGACTTCAAAGCAATTTTTGGCAAAGTTACATATAAGATACATATCTAGCTATATGTATCAGTTTTGATTCGTTTCATAAACAAGAGGGCCATGATGGCCCTCAAATTGCTCACCTGTACATAGGCCCCCAGGGGCAGGGCCAATTTTAACCCAGGGGCTTTAATTTGAACAAAGGTGGTAGACACCCATTTGAAGATGTTTCATGATAAATATCTAAGCTCTAGCTATAAGAAGATGTTTTAAGTTTTTACTATACACATATAGGGAAAAACACAGATCCCCCCCTCTGGGCGGGGCCAATTTTGTCCCAGGGCTTTTATTTGAACAAACTTGATAGATACTCACTAGAAGATAGTTCATGCTTAATATCTAAACTCTAGCTCTTTGGGTTTTAAAAGAAGATTTTTGGAGGTTTTTACATATACTTATAACATTTGATACAGCTTTTCGGAATTTGTAGATGCTTATGATAGGTACTAAAATGCAGCCTTAATAGAATTGTATTACATTTCCATTTTTATGGAACCAATGAGTGACCTCTGCTTTTGACAAAAGTTGTAAACAAGAAATGTTGTTGGATGTTATTAGCATACCTAGCACATTATTAGACCAATAGCCTGCAATGAAAATACAACTGCGTCGTATCATATTTTATTTACAACTGCGTCGTATCATTTCGTAAAAATCATTATTTTCTTGAAAAATAAACATCTCTTTTTAATGAAGGTTTAGTAAATGATCCAAAATTATGTTTTGATGTTTATGTTGAACTCTGAAAACGAGTATATAATTGATTTGAAGGAGAAATCGATAGATAAAGCAATATGAACAGCGTCGTATCCACAAATTTTCATAAAAATTCTGCCCCGCTTCGAGTTGCAAGTTCGCTTAACTTTTGTTTTACAAAATAGTTGTGCAAGCAACATATACCGAACGAAGCGGAAAATAGTGTAGCGTGTTAATACATATATCTCGTTTTCAGTCATTTCCAACAAAAAAAGTTATAAACAAAAACATACGTTTTTCGTTCCAAGATGGCGGCGTTTGTTTACATTTTGTAGGATACGACGCAGTTTTGATTCCCAGCCCTGAATTAATAAGCCTTAATTAAGGCAAACTTTCCTTAATGATGGACAAACTTCTATACCGTCGGTAATTTACGCAATTATCAGAGCCCAACAACAATTATTTTTGGCGTTTTTTTATTATTATTTTTTTTTTTTTATTTGAAAATTAAACTAAATGAAACAAAAAAAAATATCAAAGTTTTGTAAACTATTTCAATTGATGTTATTTAACTGCAACCAAACGCTATTTTTTCTCGACGTCTTGAGATGACAAAAATATATACTGTATTCGTATACTTTCTTTACTGCAGCCAACAAACAAGGCAATTAATCTCTAAAAAGTAAACATACGAAGACAATTGCTGTGTCTTGTACAAATCCTCGCTTAAAGTCATAAAATAACATATGCATTTTCGACTTCCATATAATTTTGAAAAGTGCCGTACGGCTAGCCAATACAGTGTGTCCTGGCTAGTCTTACGTGACTCACATACGGCTAGAACTTTCAACAAGAGGGCCATGATGGCCCTGAAGTCGCTCACCTGTACATAGGCCCCCGGAGAAAGGCCAGTTTAAAGCCCGGGGCTTTTATTTGAACAAACTTTGTAGACAACCATTAGAAGATGTTTCATGCTAAACATCTAAGGTCTAGCTCGTTGGGATTTTAAAAGAAGATTTTTTAAAGTTTTTTCTTTACACATATAGTTAAAAACAATGACACACCTGAGGCAGGGCCAGTTTTGACCCCAGGGCTTTTATTTGAACAATCTTTGTAGACACTTACTAGAAAATGTTTCATGCTAAATATCTAAACTCTAGCTATTCGGGTTTTTTAAAAGAAGATTTTTAAGTTTTTGCTATACTTGTATAAGGAAAATCAATGTCCCCCGGGGCGAGGCCAATTTTGACTCCAGGGCTTCTATTTGAGCACACTTTGAAGACACTCACTAGAAGATGCTTCATGCTTAATATCTAAACTCTTGCTATTTGAGTTTTTTCAAAGAATATTTTTTAATTTTTGCTATAGTTTTACACATATAGGGAAAATGAATGACCTCCGGGGCGGGGCCAATTTTGACCCCAGGGCCTTTATTTGAACAACCTTGGTAGACATCCATTAGAAGATGTTTCATGCTAAATATCTTAGCTCTAGCTCTTTTGGTTCTTTAAAAGAAGATTTTTCAAGTTTTTACTATATGTATATAGGGAAAATCAATGACCCCCTGGGGTAGGGCCAATTTTGACCCCAGGGCTTTTATTTCAACAAACTTGGTAGACACCCATTAGAAAATGTTTCATGCTAAATATCTTAGCTCTAGCTCTTTGGGTTCTTTAAAAGAAGATTTTTTAAGTTTTTACTATATGTATAAATGGAAAATCAATGACCCCCTGGGGTGGGGCCAACTTTGACCTCAGGGCTTTTATTTGAACAATCTTGGTAGACATCCATTAGAAGATGTTTCATGCTAAATATCTTAGCTCTAGCTCTTTTGGTTCTATAAAAGAAGATTTTTTAAGTTTTTACTATATGTATAAATGGAAAATCAATGACCCCCTGGGGTGGGGCCAACTTTGACCTCAGGGCTTTTATTTGAACAATCTTGGAAGACATCCATTAAAAGATGTTTCATGCTAAATATCTTAGCTCTAGCTCTTTTGGTTCTATAAAAGAAGATTTTGTAAAATTTTTACTATATGTATATAGGGAAAATCAATGACCCCCTGGGGCGGGGCCAATTTTGACCCCAGGGCTTCTATTTGAACAAACTTGGTAGACATCCATTAGAAGATGTTTCATGCTAAATATCTAAGCTCTAGCTCTTTGGGTTCTTTAAAAGAAGATTTTTTAAGTTTTTACTATATGTATAAATGGAAAATCAATGACCCCCTGGGGCGGGGCCAATTTTGACCCCAGGGCTTTTATTTGAACAAACTTGGTAGACACCCATTAGAACATGTTTCATGCTAAATATCTAAGCTCTAGCTCTTTGGGTTCTTTAAAAGAAATTTTTTTAAGTTTTTACTATATCTATATAGGGAAAATCAATGACCCCCTGGGGCGGGGCCAATTTTGACCCCTGACCCCCTTATTTGAACAAACTTGGTAGACATCCATTAGAAGATGTTTCATGCTAAATATCTTAGCTCTAGCTCTTTTGGTTCTTTAAAAGAAGATTTTTTAAGTTTTTACTATATGCATATAGGGAAAATCAATGACCCCCTGGGGCAGGGCCAATTTTGACCCCAGGGCTTTTATTTCAACAAACTTGGTAGACACCCATTAGAAGATGTTTCATGCTAAATATCTTTGCTCTAGCTCTTTGGGTTCTGTAAAAGAAGATTTTTAAGTTTTTACTATATGTATATAGGGAAAATCAATGACCCCCTGGGGCGGGGCCAATTTTGACCCCTGACCCCTTATTTGAACAAACTTGGTAGACATCCATTAGAAGATGTTTCATGCTAAATATCTTAGCTCTAGCTCTTTTGGTTCTTTAAAAGAAGATTTTTTAAGTTTTTACTATATGCATATAGGGAAAATCAATGACCCCCTGGGGCGGGGCCAATTTTGACCCCAGGGCTTTTATTTGAACAAACTTGGTATACACCCATTAGAAGATGTTTCATGCTAAATATCTTAGCTCTAGCTCATTTGTTTTTTTAAAAGAAGATTGCTTAAGTTTTTACTATATGCATATAGGGAAAATCAATGACCCCCTGGGGCGGGGCCAATTTTGACCCCTAGGGCTTTTATTTGAACAAACTTGGTAGAC